CATGTTCAATAATAATTTTTTATATAAGATGGAATAATTCAAAAGTTCGTTAGCATAGATAGAAAACGAGGTAATATTATCCTCATCGGAATTATTGATTTATTGATGTAAAAAATAAATTACAAGATTCGGTAATACATAAACTTGTTTTACAAAGTGAAATGACGTTTCTATACTAATGTCTGTAGTTTTTCGCTTGTCTACACTACCATGGTTCGGTTTCATTGTCCCAATCATCAATATTCTGGATAAAACAAAATGCCCACCGAAACTACTGTTGTTTGCATTCCGAGATGCTAGTAAGGTCCTCAGAAGTCTGTACGAAAAATGACATTTGCTTACGAGCCCTGAAGTCGTTTTCTCGTAAATGCACACCGAAAAGAAGTGTACTTCATTCAATAACTATTCGCCAACGCCTCTTTCAAACTGCGATACTTCGGTTTCGCTTTAACGAGTTGGCTCGAAGAAAATAATACAAGGGTTCGGTGGTCGCAGTAAGAAAAAAATCTTATGTCGCACAGGCGGACTAATATTACTGCGCATTTATTTTTTCGCTGCTGACTCGTGACGTTTAATGAAGATCGTATTATGCAATCTGAGGCTTAGGACGTACGAGACCTGTTTTTAGCTAAGTTTTCGTTCGTTTAGTATTTTTTTTCGAAAAGTTTACTGAAATTATGTAAACAGAAAACTGAACAATAAAAATGAATGGAATGAAAGGCCCGTCAAATAGTCCCCTAGATAGTTCTCCAACAAGGTCTTTATTTGTATTTACTGAAAAATCTGGTTTAAGCCCTGTTTAACTCTCGATTTTCGCGTTTGCAGGTATACCACCGATATCATGGTATTTTGTTTCGTTCTAGGAGAAGTTCCTGCTATAGAGAACCATTTTGTGGTCGATATTACCGATAAAATCAAAAATATTTCGCATCTTCAAAATGCTATTAAGGAGGTGAAGAAACCTCAATTGAACGATTTCGCTCTGAATGATCTTAAATTGTGGAAAGTTTATATTCCTATTAATAAAAATGAAGCTAAGCTGTTTATTCTTGATAAACAACCTCAAGAAGTTGATATTGAACGAGATCTCGAAGGCCAAAAGCTTATTCCATCAGATGATGTTCCAAAAGACTTCTGTCAACAACAACCACCTCTAAAGATCATCCACATCATCGTCCAACTGTCACAGCCCACCACCACTGGTAAGTGTCTCCCAATGGTTTACCTCTCGAACAAGAAATTCGCGTTATCTCACATTATAATTTTCTTTATTCGATTAGGGAAGAGACAATTGGATTTAGATGGTTGTAATGAAGTCCGAGACCGAAAAAGAGAGAAATTATCAGGTGGGTTTATAATGTCTTGATGAATAGAAACAGAAACATCAATATTTTATCTAACACATAATTATTATAGTTTCGGAGGCAATTCTTACTCATGGTCAAAAAATCATGAAAAGCATAATGGAACTTCCAGAGAATCCTGAAGCTTACTCAAACCCTAAAAAGTTCCTTCCATTGCCATTTCCATTCCTTGGCGAACGAAAACCAGTAGAGAGATTCTTCATTAACGATGATGATAAGTTTATATACATGGGAAGAAAGGCATTTGTCAATGTTCTAAACACTATTAATGAACTTAAACGTGGGCGTAGTTATATGGATTGCTTTATTTATGGCACTATTGGGTATGGAAAGTCATACATCCTTGCAACAATAGCATGCTTTCTTCTTCGAACTGGAAAGCGTGTAGTATACCTTCCCGACTGTCGTGAATTGGCCAAGAAACCGGAAAATTACATTAAGTTGGCCTTATTTCTTGCCTACATAGATAATATTGAGAAAATAAACGAAATTTCTACCTGTAAAACAACCGATGATATCGTAGCGTTCTGTGAATCATCAGAACCGGTATATTTTATTGTAGACCAAATGAATGCTTTGGATTATCGTAATAATACTGAAATTGTCGAAGTAAAAAAGGCCACAATTTTAGATGTCCTCAACAGAATGACCTCAGAACATTATTGTGTTAAGAGTTCATCAGCGAATAATGAATCAGCATTGTATCTTATCCAAAAGCAAACTAATGATAGAAGGATTGAACTTTATGGAGGATTCGATGAGGTAAGACTAAAAAAATGCTCTATGCTCTGTGCTTGAATGTTTGCGTATTAACGTAATATTTACTTAGGATGAGATGTCACAATGGTGGATGCAGAATAGGGAAAATTTGCCATCAATGGATGACGAACAAAGGAAGAAAATCGAATATACCACCGGACGAAATCCACTCTTTTTGAGCTTTCTTCCAGGTTCCGAAAAAAATTTTGATGATGCATGGAAGCGCTTAAAACTAATATTAATGGAGAAGATACAAGTGCAAATGACAAACTTTTCTGATATTATAAAAAGAGAAAGATGGGATACGTACGTATTTTTATTTTACTTTGTGGTTAATAAGTTATACGAAAACTGACTTTTATCTTTACATAGTCACATCAAATTAATGTCATCATGCTTGACTAATGGTTATGCTCCTTCTGGCTATGGAATTAACGATTATGATCATCGTTTCTTCTATATTGATAAAGATCAACGCTGTCACTATACGTCTGGATTTGTACGGGATTGCATGGCTGACTATTTATTTGAAAAGGGTAAATTAGAAATATTTGCAACTTCAAGTTGGATCCAATGTATAAAGGAGTTTAGGAACAATCCTTCGGTAAAGGGATTCATGGTGGAGAAAGCATGTCTTGCTAGTATTTGGAAGAATGGACTTATAGCAGATGCGATAAATTTTAAGTTTGATAATTACAAATTTTTTACTAGTATAGAAGAAATTGATTTTTCTATGAATGAAGGACTATGCACACTTTATTTACCACGTCTTTGGAACCAAAAGTCAATCGATGGATTATTAACACTTTACAAAATGAAGAACAAAAAAGAAAAAGTTGATAAAGACACATTGTATATTGCTCCGATTCAAATTACCCTTGATAAAGAAACGCATTCAGTTTCCGAAGCATCTTTTTTCTCCGGGATTTGGCCAGAATTAAAATCAAAGATATCGGGCGACTTGAAAGTGGAAGTAATGTTCATTTGGATTACACGCGAAAATGATGTAGATGATCTTTTTGAAGCTAAAAAGAAAATATTAAAGGGAAGGCCGGTTGAAATTAATCCACAATACACATCAATAGTTACGACATTTAGGTGTATCAACATTGAGCTCGAGAATATTTATCATAAGTAGTTTCATCAAAGTAGTATACAGGAAAGGTTGCTTGGTTAGTAAATAATAATGCTTGACGAAAGGAAGAAAAATCAACTCAGAGGGTGGTAACTTTGTGTGATATAAAAAAATTATACTGAATATTTATGATATATAGTAGTTATTAATACCATTCATTAAATAATAAAAACGGTTTATTGAGTTTGCATTGCAAATATTTTAACGCATTATCAACAAGTCTCTAAATTAGATAGAATATATGACAAGCTTTTAAGGGAGGGAGTACGCGAATCCCTGCGTCATATTATTTCTTTGGTCTCTCACATTTCCGAAAATTTTGTTTCTATCGCTAATACAAGTTTCATCAAACACTATCAGTCATATTCATCATAGGTGTAACCGTGAAGAATCTTCACGATCAAAAATCACGTGCGCGTGAACAATTGTTCACGCCGATCACTTTTGTCAAGAAAAAAATATTTTATTATTACATGCAAAAATAAATACAAATGTTCAGGACCTAGCCCACGATACACATTAATTTTTGATAATTTTTTTGTCGCACAATCTGGCCGAAGGTGTTGCATACATGGCTCAGCAAAAAAAATCTAATTAATGATCATGCAAAACACCTCTCGACTCGCTCTGGACTAGCTAAATTATTCAGACTCTGATTCAGTTTCAGAGCTAGAAGATACTGCGAAAATTTTTTAGATCCTGGTTTGAAAGATCCTTTAGAATAAATGGTATTAATTCTGGCGGAAGTTGTTCTAGCAAATTAACTATATGCATTTT